GTGGCATTTTGATTGTAGCAGGTACTATCATTTAATTCTGAAATTCACAACCTTAGCGCCACGTTAAAGCAGGATTTTTGCAATTAATTTTCCTTTTTCACTCAGTTTTTAAAAGGAAAAATTTGAATGGTCTTGATTTTAGTTAGTATCATTTCATTAAAACTATTAAAGGCACACGGGCAAGGAAAGAATCTCAAGCAGAAAAATTGTTCAGGCCAAACCTCTAGAGGTGAAAAAGGATGGAAATAAATGCTATATGAAGGTTAAATGATCAAAATTACTATTTAGAAGCCCAAGTCAGTCTCAGAGCTCCAAGGTGCTTGGGTCACTTTTCAAACTGGGAATTAAAAGTAGCATTTTTTTTTAAAGAAGACCAACAAATCTAAGTAGATTTGGGTTTAGTTCTTATTTAAGCACATCTTTCATCAGTATGAATGAAGGTTTTGACTGGCTAACAAGTACGTAGCGTATGAGGTTAATTTTTAGGTGAATACCAATAAGTGTAAAAAAAAAAAATGTAGAATGATCTATACATTTGATGTATTTTTCATACAACTGCTCATTAATGACACTGTATCTGCAAGTTCAAACAGTTGATGCACACACATTCTGCAGCAGAGTCAATCCTTCACAAGGATAAAACAACTTGGCAGGTGTATGCCTGGAAAATATAACAGATGAAACATTTTGTCTCACTCCCAGACCTGAAACGTAGCTTAAATTATTTTAGTCTGCTTTCCACAACAACGTTTTGTCAAGTAAACAAGAAGAAACTTAAGCAACTTCAGCTCTGGAGGAAAACCAGTGAAGACTGTTACAAATATCCCCAAATAGTGGAATATAGGTTCATAGATGTTTAAGGCCAGAGGGAGCATTAAATAGACCTACAACAGAGCAGTGACCTCCACTGTAAGTGGTAGCAGGGCTATAATTAAACACCATTGACAAATGAGGTCTGAAATCACAGCCAATTGTTCTCCTGAGATAGAGGATCTGTTACTGAGTACTTTGGTTTAGATATCTTTTGCCTCAGGCAAACTGGGAGTCTCCAAACTGGCAGAGGCAATGACAGGGAAAACGTCCCAGAGCTCAAGAATGGCTGTCATGCCATACAAGTGCAATTCCCAAGAGATCTTCCAAGGCAGAGCCTTGCTCATCCAGCCCAAATCTCAGCTTGGAGTGGCTGCAATTAAAAATAAAAAATAAAAAATCTTGAATGGAGAGGTATCTGTTATATCTGTTATGCTCTTCTCTGGAAATGTCCACTGCCCAGTCATCAGGCTCAGCTACATTGCAAACTGCTTGGGTTCAAGTCAACACATTAAAAAAGCTAACGACGAAACTGCTGACCATCCCAACTTCTCAAATCAGCAGTTGTGGCTCTTCCTTAATATAGGCAGCCTTGCTGCCTTCACTGTCCCTATTGAGAGGCTGCACTACTCAGTTATACTGGGACATCTGAGCTGTCGTATGGGGAATAACCCACCCAAGTCCTATCCACCCAAGTTCATTCAGGCCCTTCATTTAGTGGAGTTCTTGACAACCAGCAGTACCTACAGATCTGTCACCTTATGTGACCTTAGTTGAGGACATGGATTCACACCACTTCTCCCTACTGGGAGGTTTCAAAGGGCATCGATGTGACCCATCACCCTACCTGCGCTCCAGGCTCCCCTCACTGAGAGCTGGAAAACTTCTCCTCTCTGGTCAAGTCTCACCTGTGCTAGGTTCTTTCCTTCTGCCTCCACTTCTGGGACTTACAGTTCCCAGAGCTATAGCAGATTGGGATTCGGTCCACAGGGTTTCATTAGAGCTTTTTAGTTGGTGTAGGAGCATATGTTTCTTCCTTAAAACACTTCCAATTTTTAGCAATGTATCATTAGTGTGCTCACTAGGGACAATGATGCTAATAAGTTATAAAATAAGGTAGAAATATCTGGACAATTGATACAGATTATATTTTATACAAAGTCAGAATCCAAAAATTCTATGAAATAAAAATGAATCTTTTTCTGCTATCATCAAAATCAGTATTTTTCTAAATATTTTGACTTGAATGAAAACAGTGTTTCTGTTGAGGAAAAACATTTCCAAGCTGTCTTATTGTGATGTGCCTTAGCTAGTCTAAACGTTGCTTCCCATATCTTTCAGTAGAACATGCCACAGGATAAGGGCAGTCAAAAACCAGGCTGCCTTACCCATAGATTTAACTGCAAGATGCGAAGTAAAGTGCCTAGGTATGGATGCTCAATATTTGTTTAAGCCCAGCAGGTCTTGGAGTTTGTTGTAGATGTGTTCATTGCTGCAGCTGAGCATTTCAGCTGAAGTAACAAAAGAAAATAGAGACTTCAGGAGGAAACAACTAAGCCCGTAACCTAAATTATAATTTGATCTTCAACATCCTAATGTTTGTTGTTCTATTTTTAATTTAAAAAAAAAAAAAAAATCTCCAACAGTGCAGTGCCCGCTAGAGGAACTCTGAAAAGCAGATTTTGCCATTTTTTGCAACATGCAATATTTTCTTGTAAAACTTTATTTCTTCTTCTACTCAGCCATACCACTATCACCACATGCCTACCTTCCATGCTGCCCTGATCACACAGCCACCAGTACCAGAGCTAGCAAATTTTAAGCTGGACACGCTCGCATTAGTCATGCCTCATCTTTGACACTAATATAAATATACCTCTGTGACAGACGTAACAAGACTCCTGCTTCCTGATGGCAACATATCCAATCTGTCTTTTAAAAAAAAAAAAAAAAAAAATAACGTTCATTGATCTGCTGTTATTCTCCTTTAAGTCATAACTATCTGAATAACAGGAACCTGCACAGATCCCCAGCTCCACCAAAGGTCTGCCTGGAATCACACAGGGCGGTCCCTTCGTGCAGCAAACCCTTTCCTACAGCCGCAAGTCCCAGGGCAGCTCTAGCAGGAGCCACAGAGGGCAGGGCAAAAGACAGAAGACAAAACACAAAAATTCTGGCTACTTTCCCAGCTTTGTCTTTCAGGTGGTCCTAGACAAGCAATTTAATCTCTCGGTTTTCTCTCCTTTCCTCTTCACCAGGCTCACCTTTTTGTTGGTGGTGGTTTTGTTTTGTTTTTAAGAGCAATTTATTAAGAAATGATACCACAGGCTTCTTCCCCATATAAAAAAAAATCTTGGGGGAATATAAGCAATATATTTTCAGCCACACACAGAAAGGAGCTTAAGGAATTTAGCTGCAAACACCACTGAGCTATGAAATTCACAGATCACAACACAAGCTGCTCTCATCTCTGCTAGCCATCTCTGCTTCAGCTGTGGTTTCTGAGCAGCCTCAGCGGACAAACCTGCCTTGAGCTCCTCGGATTTCTCCTATATTGCCTTGAGGAGAAAGGTACTGAGAGGCACTCTGGCCCTGAAAGCTGAGCTGGCAGGATGGAAGCAGCAGGAAAGACCAGAAAATCAAACACATGTGCAGAGACACAACAGAGGTTTGGGAAACTCAGAGAGTGTCATTTTTCTCGAGTACTAAGGCAACAAACTGAGAAGAAATGAAAATCCACCCATGGGACTAGGCAGTCTGAGAAAGGCTTCTGAATAAGCAGCAGCCAAGTAAGCTCTGGGGCATGCCAGCAGCATTAGAGATTGAAGTCAGGTTTTAACCTACGATTTCTGCATCCGCCTGTGAACTGTTTCTTCTGTTCTGATACAAGGCTCTGTCAAATACTCAGGGCCAAACCCAGCCCATCATATTCTCTCAGGTTACTTTACCAGTCGAATTCCATGAACAAGAAGAGGGAGGTCACACCTGAAGAGCAAATCCCGGTAACAAAGCACCCCTTCCACCTTTGGCCTACGTAGCAAACTGCAGATCAGCCATAAATGTATCAGCTAAACCTCATAAGCAGTTAGACTTGCGATGGCAAGAGTTTACAGGAAGAGAAATGCAGCAAGAAGATTTTACTTTCCTTTCCGGTGCCTTAGAAACACAAAACACTGGCCAGCTTTGCACTAATTAAAGCACTACCCAGAGTTGTTCTACTCTGTTGTCCTGCTTTTTATGCAATGATTTATGCAAGAACAGAGGAAGAGCAAACTCTGCAATTCTGCTCTAGTGGCCTTTTATACCCTCCATGCTTTCCCTGACAGCCCAAGGTCGAGCTGAGTTGAGCATGGAGAGCGAAAGGGGCCAGGCTGGAAGCAGCAGCCATGGCGGGGAGCGCACCAAGGCAGGCAGGTAGGCAGAGGTGGGGCACTGTGCAAGGAAAAGCATCTCATCAGCGCCTGGGGATCGCGACAGAGGGCATCTGGGGAGAGCCAGTGGAGCACATGGGACGCATATGAAAAAAGTCATAAGTTCTCCTTCTCCCATCGCTCCCATCAGCGCCCTGCAGTGCAGCATCTGCTCAGTGTCACCCAACAGCCTACACTGCTCCTACACTGCTGCTGGGGCTCTGTCTTCAGCAGCGCAGCTGCAGCCTGGCCTGGGAAGGCTCCAAGCGCACATAGCATGACAGTGCGCGAAGCTGCACCAAACTGGGGGATTTCAGTCAAAAGGAAAGAAGAGGAACACTCCTCAGTCACAGTTTACTCAATAAGGAAAGCTACCTTAATTCTTAACTGCAAGCCAAGTCAGAAAACTGTCAGTCAAACCAGGTCACTGTACTGGGTGCTCATGAATTATCGTAATTTACCTGTCCTGCTATTTATATGGCTCTACCTTTGTCATACAGCATGGTATGAGGTCCTTAATAACTAAGATAGGAAGACCCGTTGGCTACATACCTCCAATATGGGAAACGAAGCACAGAGGGTAAACCCAGTACATACCCCCTCTGAAGTAAGCTCAGGTGATTCAATCCTGAGTCCTTCAGTCTGCCAGAAAATCATCCCAGGGATGCTGGAAGTCTGTGGCAGAACTGGAAATTAGTCTCAGGTGTTCAACTAATGCCTTAATGACCACACCACCCTTTCTTGCCAAAGATAAAAGTTCTGCTACACCAATCCCCTTCCTTCATGCACTGCATCCTGGCCTTCTCTCAGGATAACAGGGTGAGCAACTGCATGTGTAGACAGGGTCTGGCCAGCTGAAACAGCACTACCAGCAATGCCATCAGCAACATAAAGTAAGAAATCAGTGTACTCAGGTCCCCGCCCCATTTCAGAACAAATGCACTCAAATACAAAATGGCTTCAAGCAGCCTGTGACACCTCCCTGCATCTCACACCTCCCTGCCTCAGCCCTTGGGCTGCTCTGCACCCAGCTGTCAGCTCCTGGACCCGTTCACAGGTAGAGCAAGGGGAAATGTTTTGCTCTGCAGGGCGGGTTTACAACACCAGTAGGCTTGTCTGCAATGAAGGATTGTGGGAGAGACACACACATACACCCCAAAACCACCTTGCTGTCTCTGGACAGCAATAACATGGCAGTTGCCTTGCTTTCTAGAGGTGCAGAGAGAAGCTTTGCTATCCATCGAGTTCAAAGTGGGTCAGCAAAGGAACAAGAGGTGAAGTGAGATCAGAAGCCAGCCAGGACAGGTGGCTGCTCTACCATTTCGTCACGTGGATCACCACCTCCTCCCAGCCCAGGGAGCGCTCAGTGCCGAGGCCGATGTGCCGAGGTCCATCTTCTGTCAGCAGTGCCAGAGTCTGCTGGGCGGACGTCCTCCTCCGCTTCTTCCCTGCAGCTTTCTCATGCAGTTGCCAGCATCCTCTAGGTTTCCAGGAGGATTAGCTCCCCCCATTTTCCACCAGAACTTAACAAAAGTTACCCTGTGGCAAATGACCTGCACGCTCCATCCTGGAGTGCGGATGAAAGCAAGGCTAGAGCATGTGCTGTCTTGCTTGGGGCTGTATTTACTGCTGATTGACCTCTGTGACAGGCTGCCTAGCTCAGCAGAAGCCTGGACAGTAATACTAGGCCAACACTTTTTTTTTTTTTTTTTTTTTTTTGCTTTTTTTCCAGGGCAAAACAAAGGAAAATGAACCTTCCTCCTGAAATCAAGTAATCTTCCCCGCCCTTCCTTTCCCTAAGTTGGAAAGAGAAATTTCTGGCTCCACTCATTTTCATAATTTTTGAGTTCTTTTTATTTCTTTTGAATAATTTCTTAGTAACACCCCAAAATTCAGTTTAGGTCATAGCTGTGTACAGGTTGGGAAGGAGCAGGAGCCACCGGGCTGGTCTGCAGGCTGACAGAGGGAGCTGGTATCTAAATTCCAGCAAGATTCAGTCTTCCAGAAGCTCTCTCAGCCCATTCAGACGTCCTCTCAGAGCCAGCCAAGAACTGCTCTCTTACTCTGTGAGGCAGGTAACACCAGGACTGAATAGCTGCTGGAAACAGCCGCTGTGAGCTATGGCTTACTTTGTATTAAAGTAACATTTTCATCCTGTTTTTACCCCAGTCCCACCTCCTCCTCACCTACAAACTGCTCTCACCCTTCACCAGCTCCCACTAAGCGGGTCTGCTCCTGTTCCAACTGCAGTTTGCCTCATTTCAGTAGGGGCGATGCCCAGGCGCAGCCTGACTGAGGGCTACAACTTGTCTGCTGCCTGAGGGCTGCAGCTGATCTGCACTCAAGCAGAAAAGGACCGTAGCCTCATGGTCATCTATAATACAGAAGAATGAAACAAGAAGAATATAGCTGTCAGCATCTATTGCAGCGAGACCAAACTGGCGGCACGCCTCCTACGGGTGCCTGCCATCTCCCTGCGGCTCCCCTGCATCAGAAGCAGGGAAGGGAGGAAGCAAACCCGGCCAGGCCTGGAGCTGCCGCAGTCCCTGCTGGGCAGGGGAGGTGGGACCTGGGTCGCTTCTGTGGAGGGGTGTGTTGGATCCCAACTCTGTGGCTCCTGCTCAGTTTTGGTGTTCATTATTAAGAGTAACAAGCAACGCTTAAACTGCACTTTGGAGTTTCAAAGCACTTTGCAAACATTAATTAATATCTTAACACATCATCTTTCTCTGGTGCCCATCTGGCGTTGCATCAAAAAATTACAACCAGACTGGAAAAAAAAATTACTGTTTTAAATAGAACCAAATGAACTTAATCCAAGAAGAATGAGCAAGAGAAGGAGCTAGGAAAAAATAAACTTGCTGCTGCAGAGCTATGTCAGGAGCAGGGCTCTTAGCGGTGTTCTGCTCAACGGCCTGCTGGGGTATAGGACGTGCCATAAAACAACAGCTTTGCCTCTTGCAACATTTACTCCACTGCCCTTGGAGACCATCAATTCTGGAGCTCTGCACTGGTGACTGAAGATCTGGGCCCCCCAGAGCTGCCTGCTGTCCTGGAAGTGCAGAGCACAAGACCAAATGGAGGGGCTGCAGCTGTTTATTGATGGTGAATCCACCGACAACCAATTTATATTCATCTATCAAGGAATATGCAAGTGGAAGCAAATATTATGGTCATGTTCATTTGTTTCTGATTACAAAATGTATGTAAATGCATATGCAAATTAAGTGCACCCATCAGGCTCATGGCAAAGCGCCAAATTAGCCCTTAGCGCTACTGAGTTTGGGGTGGCTGGCGGGGAGATACGGTGCTCACAAGGAAGGCTCGGCAGCCCTTTCAGATGCAGCCAAAACTGGCTGCTCCAAAGGGGCAGGTGGAGGATAAATCCTGCAGTAACTTGTCTCTTTAAACGAAGCTGAGGGGCTATAGAAAAATCTGTTCCCGCTGCAGTTAAAAGTGTGATAATTACAGAGCAACGGGCTCCTCTGTCATTCAGCAGGCAGCATCCCCAGGAAATCTTGCTCTGTAATCAAGGGAAGAGGTGCAATCAGGCCCCTATTCAGGCTTCGTTTAGAAACAGCCCCTGCAGGCAACACAAAGGCTTCAGCATGGTGCTTTGTGAAGCTGGTGATCACATCAACGTCTTGGTTCTGCAACTACAAGCAGAGTTAATGTCACATCTAAGCACATCTTCTGTTCACCTTCACCACCAAGTCCAGAAGGGGCCTAGGAGAGGGGTGAGGTTGTGGGCCAAACCCCTGCTGTACGTAGGATGCTGTGCTAAAACTCACCCTCCACACCTTGATGGCGGAGGACGAGAATTTCTAGCAGCCTAAGCAAGGCGGCGTGGTCCTGAACAGGAGATGTGAGCACGAGCAGCTGGCTGCTACAGCAGCACTGTTGGCAAAATTTGCGTAGGGAAGGAGAACATTCTTGATTTGTGTTTTCTGGGTTGTTTTATTTTTTTTTTTTCCCCTGACATGAATGTATCTCTCTGCGCTGCTCAAATTCTACAGGAACCTCATTGTCTTGGCAGCCGCCTGATCTCACGGAGACTGATGAGGTTTATTAGAGGGGAAGGTGTCTCTGACTTCAGCTTTCATGTCTAATGCCACTATTGCCCAGAAACATACAAATTAATTGCTACTCAAATCAGCCATCCTTTGTACCCTACAGAGCTGTCAGGTTCAATGAACCGGTTTACTCCAACTGCAATAAAAATAGTATCACATTTTATTCAAAACGACCGGATCTTCCAAAGTGTGCACACATTTGCACACCCATGGTATAAAGTCAGGCACACAAATCATAATTCTCAGTGACCAGCAATGATCAGCTCAGCCACCCATCTGGGCATGTAGCTACCAGGACATACACAATCCTGGCAACTCTGCATGCATAATAGCAGCTAAAAAGCATTCTGCACACTGGGGCATGTTCTGGGCAGAATTTACAGAGTTGTCTCGTTGTGGAATGGTTGCTTTCTGCTGAGGCTCACTGTAACTTCACTTTGCATCACAATAACCCCTAACACTGCAAATGGAGTTCGTTCCGTCACAGTACGTGATCAGGAGGTTCCACTCTCTATTTGTTTTTTATTTCTCTGGCCACAGAATAGATGATTGTGCTGTGGTTTCACCATCTGCAGACATAGGTATCAGTCAATAGCCAAGTAATGGCCTAGACCCTGTCAAGAGAAGTCATTATTAAAAAGGTACATACTGCATTTAGCTGTTCAAACAGTTGGTATTGATTGGATCCCATCAGTTCCCAGTAAAAGAGCCAGAGAAAGACCAAATGAAAATACACACATGGACTGCAGACTAGTAAATACTGTAATGGAGTTGAAGATCTTCCCCAAAAAAGGAGTTGATGTGCAGTTGAAAGAGCATTATCTCTTCTGAAAACGTGACTGAGAACAAAATACCACGTTGAACAGAGTTCCTGCAACCATCTAGAGGCAGGATAAGGAAATAAAATAAAAAGCAATAGTTTCAGTGACAAACATTTCAATCTCTTGGAACAAAGCAAACAAAGGAAACACAAGATGGTCAATGGCCAATCAAGCCACACGCAGGAAGAGCCTGCGTCCAGTCCTGCTGTTCCTACCACATCCCACTGTTAATCAATGGAGGTCCTGCCACATTCAGGCAACTGCAAGGCAACACCTTTGAAGTTGGCTAAGTTTGTCAAACTCAAACAAAAAGGTAGCTTTACTTCATTTGGTTCATTTTTAGTTTCCTTGCCACTTTTCTTTGTCTGCTTGTTTCCACTTATTGAACAGCTTTTCTTCTATTTTTCCCCTTCTCACAGTCTACACAGACACTGTAACATTTTTGGGTGGCAGCATTTAGCACACAGAAATCACCACTGCTGCAGAATAAAGGGAGCAGAAAACAAAGCTGATTATAAAATTTTAACATAAACCAAATAGACACCATGAAGTAATACAAGAAAAAACAGGACTGGACAAAGTGGTAGCTGCTTGTGGCAATCTATACATTTGTTCCACTGGAAAAGTTCTCTGCACAGCATCGTATGTGTGAGAAAACAGAGACAGCTAACAGTGAGTTAAAAATGTTTATTAAAAAAGGTACATCGTGACAAACTTCTTTGCTCACTCTTAATAGAAGGTTGGGCTGAAAACTGATGAATCACTAGAGGAAACAAACAGCAGTGGTGACGCATGGCTTCAAAAGGTAACAATAGCACTGCTTGATCCATGATCTCTACAGCAGAAATATCCCTGGTTTCATTAGAAGATGCATTTCATCTCGCTCCACCCACCCAGGAAATACAGAAATCCCACCAGCAGAGCCTTGAGATTGTCCCCACAGGTGTGTGTATGGCAGCCTCGCTCACTTACAGTATTTTCCCCAGACATTTGATGAAAACCATATGCTGTTGATGTCTTGACCTGTGAAATCTTGATCCATCATCCCAGCAGCATAAAGAGGCTTATATCTTTATAACTCAGGCTCCACATGCCTCTATGGTTCTTGCGATCTTCCATCACCCAAACCTTGTATTTAGACAAGAGGTGTCTCTGCTCCGTAAGCATATGAGAATCAGGCCCCACAGCCCAGTTATTCAAGTGCTCAGTCACAACCAGCAGTCTCACCAGCTCCACATGCTTCATGGTTCAAGCACAGGAAATAGTTCTGGCTCATTACTGATATGGACCAGATGGGTGCTGACCAAAAAAATGCGGAAAAAGCCTTGGAGTCTAAAGATACAAGTCTAGTTTGGAAAACTTGGAGAAAATTATGGGGGAAAAGCACTGTAGACGGTCCCTCACCAGTCATTCTGAAAGTGATTTTATTGTTGCACTTTGGTACTTTAAACTTTTATTTATAATTAATAAATGCATCAAATTCTATTACTGTATCTGAAAAATGCTGGAAACTGGCATTAGGGAGGTATTTCTCCAGCACACTATAGATCTCTACTGCACATAGAGCTGATGTTATCCCAGAAGGCATATTAGTCTTGTCTCTAAGATGGCTTATTCTGGTCAAGAATGATGACTTATGTACAGTGGTAATGTATATTATTATTATATTTGTATATAAAGACATTTTTTCTTCTATCATTAATAGCATCTTAAAATTAATGCAAATATAGATGTCATGTTTATTTTCCAAACTCTCTCTTCCTATAGAAGCGCGCTTGCTCCTCCACCATGGTATTTCTGTGGGGGTACTGACTGCCTTTATGCTTACCTGTCAGCAGTATGTACACATTACTTTCAGCACCTCTCACATTCCACTTATTAAATTCCAGTTAATTCACTTTCATTCCCAAAAGAAGTAAGGGATGGTAGTTATGATATGTAAGATATTAATGCGAGTATTTCCATTTTGACAAAAATTCATTTTTTTTCCCTTCAGATTAGACACTTCTTACCCGGTTTCATCTTTGGCTGAAGCTCAAACTGTTGTGTTTAAAC